GCACCGCCCCTCTACCCCATCGCCAGTCCCAGGAACACAGCTGCTGCACCCGTGTGCTTGCTCCTGGGGACATTCTGCCCGCCACCAGTGCCCACACCCCTTGACCCAGTATTTATACCGGCAGCTTGGGAGCAGGGAGTAGCACTGGTGGCACAGCCATGGGTGCGCTGCTGGGCTTCACGGTTGGCACTGCACTGTCGTCCTCTGCCTGGGGACAGCTGTACTCATGGGCGAGTCCTGAGTGGTCATCTAGACTGCAGACTTCCAGAGAGCTCGTAACATCTGCCGTTTTCTGTGAATAGCAGTGGCAAAACAAAGTGTTATAAAACCCTTGATATATTCATGGAATTGTTCCAACTTTTATGAAAAAATACAGGAGGATCGTTTTTATCCTATGGTTTGAAGATAAAGGCATATCATTTATGTCAGCCTGACTCAGATGGATCTTACCGTTAGTCTTACTTTGTTACATTATCTGCTGTCCCCTCTGCTCTGCCCTCCCTTCCCATCCCCTTAAAAACCAAATCTTGCTCTTTTTTTTTTTTTTTGAAGAGAAGCCTCAGGTCTCGCAGAGGTTCCCAGGATCACCTTTTGTTTTGTTTTGTGTTTTAAGCAAAGGGCAACCCATAATGTCCCTGTCCATGGGCATCTCTCTCTCTCCTGTGAAAAACTGCAAGTGATCCTGATAACATGGGTAAGCAGGTTTAATACTACTTTTAACTCCCTTTTCTGGAAGACCCTCCTCTAAATCTACCAGCATAATTGGGGCCAAGGGCAGACCCAAGTCAGAGCTTCTTAACTCTTCCTGAGATGTGCCAGCTCAAGGATCCGATACTACATGCCCATGCAACAATCTGCGAAGAAAGGAGCTTGCTAATCAATAAGCAATACAACGCCTAGAGACAGTCTATCCTCCAAAGCAAGTCGCTGTCATTCATTGCAAGGGACACCAAAGGGACACGTCTAAACTCTCTTCGGGAAATAGAAAGGCTGCTAGTGAGGACAGAAGGTCAAGACCCTTGCCTTAGCCCGGTACCCGAGAACCATTAACAGCAGCCTAGAAAACAAACCGGTCCTTGTGCAGGAGACCCTGTGACAACTCCTTCAAGGGAAATGTTTGCTCAAATTTTCACAGGATTAGAAGTAGCAGCAACCATTGGACAGGTCTGCAAAGTTTGCACACTGTGGGCTTCTAATAACCTTGGCAATGCTAGACCACATCCTTTGCTTAAAAAAACAAACAAAAACAAACAAACAAAAAAACAGTGCTCCTGGGAACCTCTGGGAGAACTGAGGCTTCTCTTCAAAAAGCAAGACTCCGGTTCTGTTCCAAGTGGAGATAAGTAGAACCACTATAAAAACACACTGGTCATCTATCTAACATCCGTCTTTTCCACACAGGAAGGTGTGGAAATATGTGTGAGACCACCTTGTTGATTATACCCAAAGCCGGCTGTAAAGCGTTAACCCCACAATTGGCTTTTGTTTCGAGAAAGGAGTCTGGACAAAGCCTACATGCCAAGGTCAGAGTGACTCACATTCAAATCCCAGTCCCACAACTCAAACCTTAAGTAGGACTGGGTTTTAATTGCAACCCTATATTTTGTCTAGTCTGTTCCTAATTTGAAAATACTTTGTTCCTGCCTTGCCTACATTAGTATCCACAGCAACGGCAGGACTGCACATTCTAGCATAATTTGTCTTTACCCCAATTCATTACCCATAAAAATCAGTGGCTTGGACTAACCAGTGCCTTTGCTGTTTCTGCAGCATTGGCCCTCCTCGCTCCTCATTTCTTTTTCTCCTTAGCTCTGTCGCTTAGTTTTTCTCTCAGCCTTTCACTGTAGCACCAAGCAGGAGATCATAATGGACCGCAGAGGTCTTTGATAGAAATCTAACCACCCTTTCTCATATCTGGGCTCCATATCCCCAACCTAATAGTAAAGTTGCTCTCCTGACAAATTTATCAAGCTTTCTCTTGTTGAACGGGCTCCACACATAGACACTAACTCTTTTCTTATTGTCTCCTGACAGGTTTTTCTTAGCTCATCTGGTGAGCCACTACAGCCTTTTTCGGCTGAAGGATCCACATGAAGACAGAGATCTCCTCACTCTCAGCACCTCAGAAAGAATTGTAGGGATTTATGTCTCTCAGGGGGAAACAAGGTGGGAGATTAGGGCATGGCAATCAGCTGGGCAACTGGGCCTAACCTGTCAATCACAGCCAGGACGCATGGGCAGAACAGCTTCTGAGCCCTGATCAGTCATCAGAATGGTGTATAAAAGACCCGGCTGTCCTGGTGTGGTGACTCATGCCTGTAAGCCCAGCACTCAGGAGGCTGAGGCAGGAGGATCACTGAAAGTTTGAGGCCAGCTTGGGCTACACGGTGAGTACAAGGCCAGGCTGAATTACAGAGTGAGACTCTGTCTAAAAAAACAAACAACAAAAACCTAGCCATGAAGCTCACGGCTGCTGTAACCCCTTTGACCAATCTGCCTTACACTTTATAGGACATTTCTTTTCCTACCTTAATGGACCTCACTTGCTCCACAGAGCACACTTTTCCTACTTTTACCTTTAATCCTTCCTTCAATACCTTGAGTAAATGTAAAACCTCTAAATTTTTCACTTGTCTCATCCAATTCTTTGAAAAGGACAACAAGAGCATGAAAGGGACCCCTGGGAACCCCAGCATAGAATAAGAGGCCTGCAGCCCTAAGTCCACCATTACCTAGCATCAAGAACTCGGTGTTAATATCTGCATATTTGTGTCTGCCTTACCTCGTAGATTTACACCTAATTCCCAGTGTGTTGGTCTAAAGATCAAACTGTCTGATGGTCCCAGATTACCCAGTCTAAGGCAACTCCTTATAGAAGCCTGAACACCCTGATGCTTAGTCAACTACACACCCTCCTTGCCCTGGTCATCCTGGGCTGCTAAAATAAACACCTCAGCTATAGCGGCTGAAACAAGAGAAATTCATTCTCTCACATTTCTAGAGGCTGTAATGCCAGGCCAAGGTGTTGGCATGCTTGTTTCCAGGTAGGAGCTTTCTTCTTCTAGGCTTGAAGATCATTGTTTTTTACTGTGTTCTCCTACAGCTGCTCCTCTGTGCTGGTCCCTGGGGTGCAGGGAGGCCCCTCAGGTGTCTTTGTGCTTGGTTATGGACATTAATCCTGTCTGATGAGGGCTCCATCTGTATGACTTCTGCACCCGAATTACCTCCCAAAGGCCTCACCTTCAAACAGTCACCCTGGGGCTTAGTGCTTGCACCCATGCAGTATGACCCAGGGAACACATTTCAGGTCTCTAAGCAACAGCCCCTTCCTGGCATGGGGTCTGAAAGAGACTCAAGGGAGAAACAAAAGGTGTGATCAGGCCTGACCAGGAAAGGCACTCTCATCCCAAGGTGCCCTTTGTACTGTTTGGACCTCAGGACCACAAAAAGCCAAGTCCCGAAGTGCATCGTTGCAAATTTTACACCACAAGCTCTCCTCATCCCTGCTAGGCAACATCAGCTCCCTCAGTTCCCAGTTAAAGCGCTCTGCTACTGCCCCACCTCCAAAATCCTGATCTCACCTTTTTTAGCAGTGCGTCGTAACACGCGGTGTACTGTGCCAGCACTTCTTCCAGCTCCCGAGCTTGGGCCCTGAGTTCTTCTGCAAGCTCTGCCTTCGATTCATCCTTCAGTTCCTTCCAGTTCTTCCAGAGTGCAGACATACCCTCGTTCAGAGACATGGAAGCGAAGGCCCTGCCACTCACGCGAGCTATTTTTGCCATGGTCCATACTTTGCCTGGACTGGCTTTCTGTGCCTGGGTTCTCGCTGGTGCTGAAACTTTCCAGTTAATCTGACGGTGCTTGGCGGCAGTGCCCAAGTGTCTCTGGGACTTGATAGGCCAAAGGGCACGGATGCCCTTCTTAATGACCTTCAAAGCTCTCCCACACCTGTACAGAGCCTGACCGGCAGCCGTGACATCGGGAGACTGCTTTTCTCCTGTGTCTCTGAACTCTTGGTCACCCATGGGCACTTGGACACTGGCCTGAGCGCGGAGTTTTCTATTGTGGGATTTTTCTCTTAACTCTGTCACCATGGTGCTGACTGCAGCTGCTGCCGACACACCTTTGCTTGCGGTTGAGAGCAGCAAGCTTGCTCCTGCTGTTACGGGAATTAAGGCAAAGCCCACAATGGTTGCAACTTCAGAGACAACAGTGACAGAGTTGGCCACCACTTTGGACTTGGTGAATTTTTTGTGCATTTTGTCAGCATCCTCTGCAAAGGCCTGGAGCGTTGTGATGAATTTTTCTTGCTCCTTTTTCCAGTCAGGAAACTCTTTCAAAAATTTTATTTCTTCAGCTGTCAGATTTCCATCTTGAAATGCCATGTCATCCTCAGAAAATGTGTCATCCTCCTCCCTGTGGGAATGAATAAAAGAAAGGGCCAAACTCTTCAATCAGCCCATGTGGCTTTTGGATATTCTGTCAGTTACAGCTATGAAGCCTGCAAGTATCTCCCTAAAGTGTCCCATCGGGTCCCTCAGAATTTCAACCTTTGGAGGAAGCTACTGGTTCCATTCAGTAGAGAAAGGTGTAAGAAACACATGCGCATAGAAAGAACAGTGGGAACAACCTCAGCCCTGCCCAAGAACATAAGACACGCAGATTCATCCTGAGGGACACTTCCAGGCTGGCCCGTGAGAAAGACAGCTCTGTTGTGAAGAGCGCCAGGGATTACTGAGATCCTGTGCAAGAGCAGGAACTTGGGAGCAACAGAGGAAAACACCTGGGAAACACGGGGGGAAGTAGAGGCCATGTGTTGGGCAGAGGATGGGAGTTCTACCCTTAGAGGTGAGTCAGAGGGAGGACAGGACAGGGTCAGATTATATGAGACATCCTCCACTGTGACAACTTTGGCTTTGGCTTCTGTGGCTGTGTCTTTGCTGCTCTGGGGAGTTGCACATTGAGAGTGTGAGATAAGTTCTGACTGATGTTTTGCACATTTTCTTGGGCATGTGTCCAACTTTCTGTGGCACCAAAGCAAATTAGATTGGTCCTTCATGAAAGAAATTTGGGGCCCCGGGGCCCAGCCCTGCTTCCCCTGGCATTTCTCAGGACAGAGGAGTTTTTGTCAGCTCAGCTGTGTCCCAAACTGTCCAAAGCAGTGTCACCTTCCTTGGGGTTTTTGTCCTGCCAGGCACTGTCGGTACACTTATTTCCTTCTGGGAGAGAGGATGCTGGTGACACTGATGTGTCCTGGCCCAAAGGATGAGACCATTGCTGCCAAGAGCCCAAAGAGGATCACAGTCTCCTTCTCATTTTCAGGGGAGGGACCTACGAATAAAGGTGACCCACTCGAAGGGACACGATTTCACGACGGAGCTCTAATGAAACACCAGGGCCCCGTGAAACCCAGTGCCAGCTGCTGTTTCTCTCCTCTACCTGCTCTTCGCTGAAACATAGTTGTGCTTCTGTACCCACAGACATGGGCTCCAGGATCCCCTGAGGATACCAAACTATGAGGATGCTCCCGTTCCTTACATAAAATGGCATAGTTTTGCATATAACTCATGCGTATTCTCCCTACAAATCATCTCTGCATAACTATGAAACCTAAAACAACAAAACATCATGTAAACAGTTGTCTGTATTGTTTAGGGAATGATGATAAAGAAAAGAAACATCTGGACATGTTTGTACAGACGCAGCCATCGTGAGTCTGACTTCGGAGAATCCGAAGTATGGTAGGCTGAGTCACGGACGTGGAATCAGGGTATTGAGTGCTGACTGAGTGTTCCTGTACGTGTAGAAATGTACGTACTTTAAAATCCCTCCCTCTCTCCATCTCTTTCTCTCCCTCCTTCCCTCTCTCCACACACAGAGACACCCTTCCTCGACCGAGAAGGTTAAAAGTCAAATACACGACCACAAAAGTCCTTCAGTTGTACAAATGTTGGCCCAATTATCAGTTCACGAGCAGATGTAAATCAGTTCATAGGGAAGAAGGTATGAGTGGGATGTGAAGGCAAGAAGGTGGGCCCTGTGAGGAGCCCTAAATGCACAGGTCTTAGCCCCTACCACCCTGACCCTGTGTGTAAGGACAGAGGGAAAGCACAAGTAGCAGCGTCACTCCGAACACCAACTGTGTAATAGATCTGACACTTTATTTGGATGTGGTTCAGAGCTGCTGGAAGACTGGCTTCCTATGCCTCTTAATTAAACCAAACATCCCAAATGCAGACACTTTGCTGCAAGACTTCCTGTATCCAGCAGCCACATCTCCCCACTTCGGATAAGACCACGGTGTAGTTCAGTGAAACAGCGCTCACGTGGGTCACTAATTCATCCTGCTAGCTCTCCTGTGTTGCTTGTCCACATTGAGCTGGATGCTGGTGGTGGTACATCTGCCGGTTAATGGACTACTGGTATTAAATGTATTAATTTGTTTATGCTAAAGAATTTAGTTGTATGTAAGCTAAGAAGTTCTTGTCTTCCTGGATCTCACAGTAGGAGGGATCAGAGTTTCTAACCTTGGATGGAATTTCTGCACGCAATGGCATGCACCTGACTAAATCTTTTACTTGCATTTCAAAATATTTAGTTAAGATTCATGGCATGTTTGTTCCCTGAAGTAACCAATACTCATGTGCATAACAGAGACCGGTAAGAAGAAAAGGTCTGCTGTACAAGAGGACATTTATTCCTAATGAATAGGTTGTCTGCAGGCCTTTCCCCAGTGACTTAACTAGGTTTATCTTTGCAAACACCGGCCTTGTTTTCTTACCCAGCTTGGTTGTCGGGCTGTCTCTTGAGCGCCACGTCCATGTTCCCAGGAATCACTTGTCTTTCTGGTTGGAAATGTGGAAATCATCGTTACTATACATATCTTCTGAAGTCCAAGTGCAGAGGAAATTTTTAGCTTATGCAGAAATCATAATGAAACACATAATACACTAATTATTTGCAAAGTGTTGCTTTAAAACTTTACCTCAAGGACCATGCCTGCACCGCAGGCTTCAGACCCCAAACTTCCAACCCCTAGCAGGCTCTGTACCTTGGTTTCCCTCAGCACGGGGCTACACAATTGACTATAAACAACTGACTTAATCAAGGAAGAGGCCAGCGCCCTGGAGAAGTAAGCCTTCCCAGAGGAATTAGCCGCTTGAGGGAGAAATAACAGGCCAACAGCACTAGCCCCAAGAAAAGACCATAGCTGATATAAACAAACAAAAACAAAAAGCGGTGTGAGACTTTACACTCAGAGTGACTTCTTCACAGCGGGACCGGGCTGGAGAAGAAACGTAGGGCAACACCGACCACGTTGCCAGAGTTTAATCAGGTGCCATTTTGGATGGGAGTTGACCATGTGGGACTGAGTTACAAAACACCTGCACTACAAATTCGCTCCAAGACTGAAGTGTTACCCTGTCACAGGGATTGGGTGAGAGAGAGCCACAGGAGACAGACTAAGAGAGGATGAGAGCTAGGCATATTTCTCCCCCAAATCTCTTGAGAGGCCACACTGTGGTGGAGGACAGGTTCCGTGGTCTGGCTTTTAGAGGTGGCCGGATCTGAAGGCGATGGCATTGAGCCCTGAGGTCTGCCTGCGCATCTTCCCCGCTGCCTACGTGCTGAGGAGACCAGCAGTCTGATTGCCTGCCTGTGGACGGGAATGAGGGGGGATGCATCTCAGCTTGGGTAGTTGCTGTGGCCCGGGGTTTATAGATGGGGGACCTCTTGAGCAGAGGAGCTTCCTCACAAATCCACGGGCTATTCCGTGCTACAGAGAGGACTGTGACTTGCTAGATTTTAAAGGCTGCAGGTCCTGAAAGTGACCACTCATCTGGAAATACACAGGATTTTTTTCTTCTTTTGATCCAATGTTTTTTTCTCTCTCTCTCTCTTCCTATTATGCTTTGTTGTTGTTTCCTTTCTTATTGTTATCTTTTGGTGATGTATGGAGTGTTTGCTCCCATTTTATTTCCCCCTTTTAAAAATACTATTATGTTGTTTATTTGTTTGAATATTCCTCTTCTCACTCTTTCCTTGCTCTCTTTTAATTTGTTCCCTAGTTATGTTTTTTAGTTTACTCTTTTATTATTTATTCCTTTTCCTGTTGGCTTTTTCTCCTACTTTTATCTAACACTACTGATTTCCTTTTCCTCCTTTGTTCAGGTTTCCATTCCATACCACCTCGGTGCTCACAAGTATAAATAACCATTAAGCTTTATGAATCTATGGAGAGTTAAACCTCTTCGGATGGTTTAACAATGTTATATTGTTGGTGGAGATAAAGTTGTTGTACTGAGTAGATATTTACTGTAGGTCAATATCTGCTTTGTTTTAGTGTTTATACTACAATGATAGTTTTCCTATGGTTAAGGGTAGCACATAATTAGTTTTCAGGGTTTGTCAATATTCAATTTGTGTTTGACACTATTGTTGTTGATTTTGCTACTTTAGCCAAGGTGACACAGTTGTTACTTATCATCTGCTTCTCTCCACTTGCCCATATTTGATTGCCTGCAGATCATAAACAATACTGCTACCCATTCCCAAAGAACTGGATACCAGGGCAAATAAACAGCAACCTCCTTTCTCACATAAACAAAGGTGGTTGAATCCTGGGACAGAAGCAAAGGCCATTGTTCAGCTACCTCCAGAGGACATCTCTGAAAAGTAGACATTAATTAAAGAGCTCTCCACAGTAGCAACAAAGAAAAACTAAAAACATGAGAAAATAAGGCAACAAAATGCCTGCGGAAACTCCCAACCCTCCCAAAGCCAATCCAGGGGGAAGTGAGAGAGAGGAAATCAAAGGCCACAGGCATAAAATATGTGAATCCACTTTCTGAACAGAAGGCCAGTTGCACAAGAAGTAATGTTGAAAATCAACAAATGGGATCATAGCTAATTAAAGATCTTATACACAGTGAAGAAAATAACCAACAGAGTGAAGAAGCAACCTACAGTATGGGAAAAATGTTTGCCAGCCAGTCCTCAGACAGAAGACTAACATCTACAATATCTAAAGAACTCAAAAAAGTCAGCCGCCCCCAGCAAAAGACCCAATCATAAAAAAAAAAAAAAGGGCGACCAAAATGAATAGACACTTCTCACATCATTAGAGAAATGCAACTGAAACAACACTGAGCACTGTTACTCTCCAAAGAATGTACATCAATTAAGAAATTGAGATACAGGGCTGGGGATTTAGTTCAGTGGTTCTGCCACCTGTCCTGCAGGCACAAGGACCTGAGTTCAATCCACAGTACCCAAAAAAAAAAAAAAAAAAAAAAAAAAAAAAAAAATTAAAAAAAAAAAAAAAAAAAGAAAGAAAAAAATTGAGATATAAAAATTGCTGGGGAAGCTGGGTGAAAAAAACCCTTCTGTATTTTTGGAAGGAAAATAAACTAGTACATTCACCGTGAAGATCAGCATAGTGATTCCTCAGAAAGCTACAAATAGAAATTCCATTCAACCTAGCTATTCCCCTTCTAGGAATCTTCCTGAAAGTGTTAAAACCATCATATTATGGTGATATATGTATACACATATTTATAGCAGCACAATTTATACTAGCTAAATCTTGAAAACAGCCTATGTGCCCATGAACAGGTGAATGGACAAAGACAATGTAGTTTTTATATGCAATGAAGTAAACTCTGTCACAGAAGAATAAACTTGAGGCATTTGTAGGTAAATGGCTGCATATTGTGACCATAGTGTTAAGTGAAAGAAATCAGACACGCAAGCTTGAACACATGATTTTCCTTGTATGAGAAACCCAAAATATAAAGAGCAAAAATCAAGGATATATTACAGGAAATAGGGAGATCTTTTCCAAACAGGAAGGTAAACAGGAGCTGGAGGGAGGGGGAAGAAAAGAAAAGGGGAAAGAATTTTTAAAAAGAATAAAAGGAAAAACAGAAACAGAGCTTTGTCAGATTGGAAGAGAAACGAGTTGTAGGGAGGAGGTAGGAATGGGAGGGGAAGGGGACAAAAATAATTAAGGTGTGTTATGTACATGCACGGACTCTACAATAAATACAATCACTATATACTGCAAATGTACATTAATACAAAATAAAGTTTCTAGCCGGGTGTGGTGGCGCACACCTGTGATCCCAGCACTCTGGAGGCTGAGGCAGGAGGATCACTGTGAGTTCGAGACCAGCCTGGGCTACACAGTGAGTTCCGGGTCAGTCTCAACTACATAGTGAGACCCTGACTCAAGAAACAAAAGAACAAACAAACAAAATAAAATTTCAGATAGAGGTATAGCTTATATATAGTAAGCGTACACCATGAAGTACTGAGTTCGAAAACCTTAACATCTATGTTGGAGGGTAACACAATATGCTACCTCCAAATGAGCCCCTATGGCACAAGGATTATTTTGAGATGAGAGCCAGTAACAAGAAGCAGGTACAGTATTCTCCAGCTATGAGATTCTAAGGGGATGCTGAGGCAGAGAGAGGTACCGAACCCTATGTATACTCCTTTATATTAAGTGACTAAAAGGCAGGTAGTACATAGAGTGTAGAAACGCTGGACAGAGGGAGGAATCATGACTCAGGCATGTCAGAACGAGATGGTACAAGATTTCATCAAATTACACAGAACAGTGCAGAATTTAAAACATTTGAATTATTTTCATTTAATACTTTGGGGACAAAGTTGACCATGGGTTTTTTTTTTTGTTTTTGTTTTTGGTTTTGGGGTGAGTTTTTTTGGTTGTTGTTGTTTTGCTTTGTTTAGGTACTGGGGATTGAACTCAGGCCCTTGCAAGGAGGCGGCAGAACAACTGAGCCAAATCCCCAGCCTGATCATGGGTATTGAAACCATAAAACCAAAAAGGGAGATGAGAGGGGACAGCTATCTGCACAATAATTGCCACCCGGATCAGGATTTACCTCTCTCTTCCAGTAATCCTCACCCTACCCCACGGGTAACCACAGCTCTGACTTCTGTAAGCACTGGTTAAGTTGCTTGTTCTTGAACTTTGTAAAAAATGGGATCATTTGCTTGGCATTTTTTTACCTCAAGAATACTTCCTCGAAATTCATCCATGTTTTGGGGAGTATTAATGGCTTTAAAAGTATGTCTATGTAGCATTTAATTAATATAGTCTACATGTTTTATATAGTCTTCTATCTACTGACGTATTTGGGTTATTCTCAGTCGTTGTCTATTGTGAACACGCTGACTAAAAGTTCACTTTCACAGGACAAGGCAATATTCAGGAGGGCTCTGTACAGGTTAGATTCCCAAGGACACATTATTTCTAGTTTTGTGCTTTACAATGTTAAATAAAAATTACAGGAGGCCCTAGTTTTGCATTAAGCTCCTGAACAGGGCTCCAACAGACCAAGCTAAAAGCCAACATGGAGATGCTCAGATTAAAGTTTCCAAGTGAACTCGAGCTGTCACCTGAAACTCAGGAAGGTCGGGAGAGAGAGGTGACAGTCAGGTTTCCTAAAGAGGTAAGTTTCAGTCAACCCGATAATGCAGTTTCTGTTGCCTCAGTCCTGGCCCTAAAAAGCCACCTCCAGTAAGTTAGCCGGTTATTTTCCTGTTGTCCTTACAAGGCTAAGTGACTGGGAAGGGACCCGTTGCCCTGTGTGCGTCATTCCTGCTTCTGTCAGCCCTTTTCTGACTGTACAACCACCCCCTGTGCTCAGCTCAGAATGCTCTATTTTATGGATTGCAGTGTCCTCCACTTCTAGAGGAAGAAATAAAGGCATATAATTTCATAAAATTAAATTTTACATGTGTTTTATTTTGTGGTTTGAGAGGGAGAAATATATATATTTGATCCTCCTGTCTGTTCATGACAAAGTGCTCTGATAGCACTGAAACTTCCTACGGGATAAGGGCATGAGCGGGGAAGAAGTGTCTTTGCTATTCCCAAGGATCTCCTTTCCACGACAACCCACTTTCTGCTAATGAAGTAATTTTTGCAAAGTCTCTAAGGGTGGTAAGAAGAGGGCTGCTGTCAGAGAAACCGACCCCCCGATTAGAAAGTTGGAATTTCATCCCTGCCCACCCCTTCCAGGAACCGGGGAGGGGCTGAAGACTGACTTGATCACTGGGGGCTGACACTGCCTCAGTGAGGTCTACGTATGCAGTGATTCCTCTGTGAAAACCCAAAAGAACCAGGATGGGAGAGCCTGAGTAGGTGAAAGGTAGCAGCAACTGCACAACAGCACCCCGGAAAGTGCACAGAAGCTCTAGAGAACATAAATGAAGTGTTTCCTGGACCTGTGAGAGCCACTCTTACAACTATAGAACCTGAGGGCGAAGTTGTGGGAGATATCAGCTCATAGTCTGTCACACGTCCAAGAGGTGTGCAGTGTGACTTCTGTGTGCAGTCTGTGAATGAGGTGGACACTCTCAGTTCCGCTGCAGGAACTCATTGGCTGTCCCTGATAGGTGTGTCTGAATGTGTGTGTGTGTGTGGGGTGTCTTGGGGAGTTTTCATGGCAATGTGTCTTCTACCATAAAAATTGTTAATTTAAATGTTCACCATGTGTTGCGGTCACAGATTTCTATGACCAGTACGTTGTGGTTACATCCTGAATTCCTATGACTAAAATGTTAGTGAGGACTTTCCTCCACTGACGACCAGTTGAACAAACACCAACTGAATGTCCTCTCACAACTCAGTTCTGACACTATCTACTTGGAGATAGCATCAAGTCCCACAGGCTAAGGGTTCAGTCCCGTATGACTGCCCCCACTTCAAAGGCCAGGCACATCCAGGCTCTGGAACATCTGACCAATAGCCTACAAACTGAGATTTCTTGTCACCCCCTCACCAGTTTTGATTAATACGCTACAACAGGTCACAGATCTAAGGGGAGCACTCAGCTTAGTCATTTACTCTGAGGGAAACAAAGAAGGGGGTAGATGAGCAGCTGGGCGGAGAGGTGCTCAGGGCACAGTGCTCCCTTGTGCTCCACCCTCCGGGGAACCTCCTTGTGCTAAGATAGCCGTGTGCAAGCTCTCCAAACCCCGGAAATTAGAAATTTTGTGGGGGCTGCATCACACCGGCACAATCAGTCACGGATTCACTCTCTGGCTCCTCTTCAATTCCCAATTGAATTCAATTCAATTCCCTGCCAGAGCTGCGAGTTTCAAGGTTCAAATCCTGGCTTGGTCATTCAGGGTGATGAGCCTCCAGCCAGGAGCCCACCACAGAGCTGCCTCATTGGAATAAAAGATGCTCCCACCTCTCGGGAAATTCCAGAAGACAAAGAGCTCTGTGTCAGAGGTTCCTATTGCACAGAAAATTACACACATCCTCAGAGCTCTTAAATTTTTGAAAACTGGACTCAAAGTTCAAATATTAGAACAAAACAACCTTCTAGGGTCCCCATCTGCAAGAGTGTCAGAAGCTCTACGGCAGGAACTGAGGACAGAGACCAATATGTATAGCTCTTATTATTTCATAATTGCAAGCAAGGAAGTTTAGGAGTGCAGCAGTCATTGAAGCGAGTAGGGTGGCAGCTTGGGCCAGGTGTGCATAGTGACAGCCTGGACACAAAGCAATTCACATATTCCCCCAGAGGATGTGGGATGTGAGAGAAATTTTAGAATGACTTCAAGCTCTAGGACCCCCAAAAAGTGTCACAGTGAGGATCCCTGTACTGGGATAGGAAGGGGTGAGGGTGTTTTAGGTGGGTTGTGTGTGTATGGTGTGTAACAGAGCTCAGTGTGTGTAATGGGTGAGTAGGCAATGGGTGGGTAAGTCTGCTTTCTGGGGGCTGAACTTGGCAGCCATCCGTGTAGGGTGCTGTTGAAGCCATGTCCAGGTTGGGAGCCCCTGGGAAAGTGGAATAGTAGCAAAAAAAAAAGTAGTGTGAGCCCTGCACCACTCAACAACTAAAAGAATCACACCTTGAAATCTAAGGAAAATGATAAAATATGATGGACAGGTCTCTTTGTGTGCCTTTCTCCTACTTTCCCCTTTGGATACTCTGGGCCTTGGGTGTGCTAGGCTAGTGCTCTACTAGTAAGCTACAGGCCCCTCAACCCAACATCTGGGCCATTTCGCTTTGCTCCTTTCTCCTACAAAGGCATTGCTGCATTCCACCTTACCTGGCTGTGAGGTGAGTGAGTAGGAACGATGAAAATCTCGGCAGACTGGAAATCTCTCTGGTGGAACGTTGAGAGGGGCGTCTCCACAGGTTGCCATGTTTAGCCTGGCTAGGTGTCCTTGATGACTGGAGTGGCTGTCAAATCTCCTAGCAGAGGAAAGCAGACGTAATTATTACCAAGGTAAAAGTACTCTAATGAAAACAAAAGTGGTCTCTGATTGCATCTGAAAGCCAACTCCACCTAATGAGCTTTTGCAAGAGATGCAACTGAAATGGTAAATTTGCTGTCCAGATTTATACATAAGAAGCAGAGCTTGAATCTCGAGCTCACAGAATCCCCAGCTGCCTGGAATGTGAACCCCAGCTACTCCAATGACCTCTCTTTTTCCAGAACTAGGTGCCTGGAACCAACTCTTCGCCACTTGGTCCTTTTGGGGCCAGCAGCAGTCTGCTCTCCCTCCCTTTTCTCCCTCCTGCTGGCCCCAGTGGTCTCTGTCCTCACCTTGCTGAAGGCCTGTTGTCTGGCACGGAGCTGCAAACAGCTGCGCTGCTCAAGGACTGAGGCAAGAGCAGCTTTGCAGTTTCCTCACCGACCAGGGGAAGAGCCTCTGGAGGTGGGACAGAGCACGATGTCGAAACAGGATTGGACTGACTGCTGCAGGCATTGCAAAGCAACTGCCCATGGCTTCCCAAAATGGAAATGCCTTTCAATTGTTTTGTTTTTTTTTCTCCAGTAGCTACACAGGGAGGTAAGAGAGCAGAATCAAAGCCCGAGCCTGCCAGGCACAGGAGTGCATATTTCTCATTGCAACTGAGCATCTGAAGCAGGAAGACTGTGAGTTGGAGGCCAACCTGGGCAACTTGAAGAGAACTTGTGTCAAAATTTTAGAAAGAAGAAACTATTTTTAAAGTGCTGGGGATGTTACCCAATGGCAGAGCACCCCTAAGTTTGCTCCTCACCACTGCAAACAACACAGTGGCAAAAGCCTCATCTCCCATTTCTCCTTCCCAGCTATGTGACAGACCACATAACAGGTGGTTATTGCCAGTCCAGGACACCGAAGTCCTGCAGGCCAGGGAGAGCTGCAGGGGGATGAGCAGCCCCTTCTCTCCCCAGGGAGGAAGAGGATGTTAATTGTATGTTAATCTGGGGCAAAGGGGCAGGGTTGTGCAAACCTCAGCCCTTTCTCCTCAACCTTAACTGGTACATTTTACATTGATTACTTCTAGATGGTGACTGTAGTGGATTGACTAATGGTCAACCTGTAACGCCCAGCTGAACTGAATCAGCGTGGTCTGGGCGTGGAGGATCCACCTGAAGATTGTTACCAATAGCCATAAAAAGAGGACTGGGGAGGAAGATCTTGGCCTGTTGATTTTCTAGGAGAAGCTTGCTGTGGATGGTTTTCCTGATGCGAGCCAAGCTGTTCTTTTCAGAGGAGGAGCTGGGGACCTTGCTGTCACTGGGAATGGCTGCTGCTTTCATCAGGGGAGCTCTGATCTTTACCGTGAGTATCACTTCCTGGCTCCAATGTGGATCCCTCAGCTTGATGGCACAGATCCTTCATCTCATGAGCATAGATTTTCTGGCTTCCACCACTGGCCTTTGGGCCTCCAGGTGCAGATTCTCAATATGGATAAGCATGGGACATTGCTGTTGGCTCCAGGCCACCAGAAGGACTTGAGGAGGACATTGCCTTGGACTCTAAGCCTTTAGGTGAACTTGTGTGGGAAACTGCTGGGATCTAGGCCCTCAGTTGAATGTTTTGGGCTTCTAGTGTGTGGTTAATCTCTTGGACTCCTTCACATTTGACTCTTTTGGTAATTATCATAAAGTAACCTTATAAGTTATGTGTCCTGTATTTAATATATTCCCTGCACATCCTGCTGACTGTAACAGTGACATTACTGGTAATGTTAATCCTCTGTTACATTTCTCTATTTTCTACAGTAAGTGTGTCATTCAAAATTAAAAACATTATTGGAAAAAGCTTTTAATTCCTTGCTGCCCATTTAAAACTGATTATGCTTTTTCTCTGTGTGAGAAAAGGAGCTAAGATAGATGTCCTAATGATTGGTAAATAACAAACTTTGGCTAGACTTTAAGTAATCTTATTAGGGGAATAAATTACCAGTTTTCTATGATTAGCTAAGATCCAAATGTATTCTCCTTCATGTCTTATGTCCATGTGTTGAGGCTTTATTTGCATGTATAAAACTGACTTTCAGAATTATCCACAAGCTGGCTCCACAATCTAAACCCAGGTTCAGCTACCCAGATGAGAAGACAGTTACCTCGCCTGTGCAGATGACAAGACTCAGGAATCCTTTCTAAACTTCATCAATAATCTTTCATGTGTTTGTGAAAGTAAATGTATTTCCCTGATGCTAGTGATAAGGTGTTTACCTGCATAGTTTTGTTCAGACTAGAAGAAGCTACTTCAGCAAAGTAGGGAATCATAACCATCCTCAGTGAACAAGCCTATAGCTTCCAAATTGCTTAGTCCATTTGCTTCCATTTTCCCCAAAAGATTTTTTTTTCCCCTTTCAGTACTGGAAATCAAACCCAGGGCCTTGAGCTAGCTGGGAAGGCACTATACCACTGAAGCCCTTGGGAGGACTTCCGTTTTGAATGGGTCTTTGCATCTTCCAAAGACCTTCTGCACTATCCAAGCCTAGGAGAGAAGACTGCGTAGTTGGTCTCTCTCCAGTTTACCAAACAAATATCAAGGAGCTAAATCTTTAGAAGCCTGAAGAGAAAAAACTTGACTAGGCCATCAATTTTTAGGGAAATATAAAATCTAGAAGAAAAACTGAAAAGCAACTTTCTTGCTCACTATGTCTACCATTACCTGGGTCCATCATTTCACTTGGAAGTTAGGACACCCCCATTTTATCCCCAGCATTTATTTATCTATTAAATTTTGAGGCAGGGTCTTGTTAAGTCACTAACTTGCCTGGGCTGAGCTCAAACTTATGATCCTCTTTCTCCAGCTTCCCAGAGTGCTGGGATTACAGGTGTCCACCAGCACACCCAGCTAAGACCCATTTCTTTTTTAATTACCCAAAATGAGTCCATTGGTGTCACAAGCAGATAAGTTACAAAGGCACTCTCTGATGATAGCCTTCTACCATGTAACATAGGAGTTAAAGCAAGTTCGACAAGTAGTCCTTCTGCACCTGGCAAGACTGTTCTTGTCTCCTATGTAGGGAATCCTAAGAATAAGATTCGACAGTGACCAACACAATATCCTTTCTTCTTCCTGACTAACCGAAATCCAAATGGCAGTGCACTCAATTTAAAACTTACATTTTCCAGGGTGGTCTATGTAGAAATGTCACTCAGACCCCCCTTTTTTAAGGAAAGGACTCCCTACCCACTGCAAGGTGTGTGGCTAAGTGACGTTCTCCAGTTATGAACTCTTACAACTCTCAAGATGAGGTCATGCTCTTCTGAGGGCTGACGCCAGCCAAAGACTAAGAAAGATGCTAACACAAAGTCTGGCCATTTTTATCCCACCCAGGGTTTCTGAGGTGGGCAATCTTGCTTTGCAGGCTGCACACTGAGCTTGTAGAGATGTCATAAGGTTTGCATCAGGGAATGATGGCTACCCCTACTCATTTCAGCTCCTTCCTCTTTGATAAGTGTCATTCACTGTTACACTTTTTGCATGCCTAACTCCACCTCAGCATCAACTTCCTGAAAAACACAATCAGCAATACCTAGCTTCTTTCATGGCTTTGGGCACCCATATGAAATAGTTGTGGTCAGTGAGAAATAAGGGGAAGCTGTTCAGTAGGATTCTAGGAAAGCTCTATTATCAGACTAAATCTCATGTAACATGTTGTACCTTTTGCTCTTTCCATTTCCCTTTCTTTCCAACTGCATTTGGAGGGGTGGAGCAGCCATCTTGTGCCAATGAGGTAATAAGGACAAAGTCTAAAACCACATGCTAAGGATGGACAGCAGAGTAAAAATCTGGAAGAAAATTGTGAAGTGATCCCACCAACCTTGACCATCTAATCTCTGGATTTATTATACCGTGAAACAACCCCTTACTTAATCAGGTTTTAGAGTGGAATGAAACCTAACTAACTCATAGGACATAGGAAAATATTCGTGGTATCTTATTAAGCAAGAAAAAGCAAGTTACAGTGGTGTGCAGAGCAGTATCCCAATGAATTATTTATGTGAGGATACTTATATCTGTACACCTTTGATGTATACATTTTCACAGACATTAAACTTATTTTCTCCATCAAAATATAAAAGATATGTTTAAGAAGAGAGGACTGTGGCGATAGCTATCTATCCGTCCAAATCACCTTCTGCAGTGAGGGGACAGAGTGATTTGAATTTACCTCCCGTCCCTTCCATAAGGTTTGACTCCTGTGGAATAAACCAATCAGCATGTGAAAATTTCCTTGTGTAAGGCAGAAAGCAAACATTTGTCAACTAAGTAAGATACGTATTGATTTACCTGGGAAACTGCAAAGCCAAGTATTTTTATATAATCCAAGCCAAGAAATTCTTTTCCTAGTAGAGGGGGGATATTTTGTACTTTGTCATCAGTTGAGAGTTTCTAATGAGAAGGTAAAACATCTAATTTTTAAATTACTGAGTAAAAGAAATCAAGCAGCTACCCATTCACAAGGCAGTAGAAGGGATTTTGAACTAGAAAGCAGAAAATCTGAAAAGCACACCTGGCATATAAATAACTTCTCTAAAGGAGCTGTTGTGGTTTCTATCTTCATGTCTCCCCGAAGCCTCATGCACTCAAAGGCAGGCCTTGTGGACAGTGACTGGATTATAGTGGCTCTATCTGCCTTACTGTTAGGAGCTGGGGTCTGATTAGAGAATAGGGTCATCGGGACTATGGGCTGAAAGGGTGTTTCTTTCTCTCTGGTTCCTCCCTTGACTCCCTCTGTTTCCTGTCCACTATGCCATGAGCAGGTCTCCTCCGGCATGCCTCTCTGCTTTTCTGCCTTGGAACCAGTCAACTATAGATGAAAACATGAGCCAAAATAAGCACCTCTTTTCTTAAGTTGTGGGTGTTGGGCCAGAGTGCTCAGTGGTGCTCAGTGGTGCTGCTGCCTGCCTCGCAAGCGCAAGGGCCCAAGTTTGACCCGTGGTACATAATTAATTAATTAATTAATTAATTGTGGGTGTTGAATGTTTGGTCTCAGAAATGAGAAAAATAACTAAGACAGATTTTGGTACCAGAGAAGTGAAGTCATTGCTGTGGCACTACCTGACCACATGACTCAGAAGACTTTGGGAGTGGAGCATGAGAGGAGTTTGGAAAAGTTTGGAGATGCCAATGTTATAAACAATGTTATAAACTGAGCTTGATGGGCAGTCTTGGTTGAAGCTCAGAAGACCAGAATGCTGATAGAAATGCAGATGGTAAAGACTAGTTTTGGGAGGTTTCAGTTGGGAACAAGGGCGCCATCAGTCTGGATTGCGGGCCATGTGTATAATGCTCTGTAGAAATTTTCTACATTTTATCTTGAGGCTTTGTGGAAAACCGAGATTAAGGGCTACAGATTAGTTAATTTGGCAGAGGAAATTTCCAGGCAGCCTAATGTTGAGGCTACAGCATGGGTACTGTTCGGGGCTTTTAGCCAGCTCTACATTGAGAATCAAGAGCAAATGGCACAATTGAATGACTTTAAAAGTTTTGAGTGCCAGAAAGGAAGATCTGGTAAAGGTGTGGCCTGCAAAATTGGAGCAGTGAAGAGTTTGATTGTGAAAAGATTAATATTAAAAGAAGCTTATATATTAAACTATTTTTGAAACAACAGAATAAGTAATTTGAGGAATTATTCAAACTTCTCTGTTTCATTTATACTACTAGTTTCTCTTAGTTTATTGAAAATAAAGTTTTGTGCTTTTATCTGTTTCTACTTTATAATATAGAACCTTTTTTGTCTATGTCTTGTACTATATTTGGTCTATGTCTTCAAAGATAATGATACATGGTATATTTATTGTTATTCTCTTATTTTGTTATGACATTTTATTTAATTTTTCATAAAATAAAAGTTATTTTTTAAAAAACTCTAATGGAAGGCTGGAAAGAAAAGAAGCTGAGTACTTCACATCAGATAACACAAAGGATGCCTTGAGGGCATGGGAAGAATCTGAAAGACTTCATCCTTAAGACTCAAGGGTGGAAAAGTGAAAGTCATTGCTTTGAGAAGAGTCCCTTAGGGAACCCTGCTTGAGAAAGGATGCCTAAGAAACAACTTCCTGAATTTCAGTTCACAGTGCTTAGCCATCCAATCCCTCAGACGCCCCTGAAGCCCCAGCACAAAAGCCATGTTACTGCTGGAGCCCGTGGCAGCCCTTGTTGTCATCCTTGTGGTGCTGGCTTTACCGGTACTCAGAAGGAAGCAGTTGTAGGGTCACAGAGGATTCCACCCACATTCAGAAGAAGGATTGGGAGGCCAGACAGTGTGCCCCTGAGAGGGCAGTGTGTGAAACTGTGAGGATGAAACCAATAGTGCAATGGAGAAACCAGAAATTTGGAGAAGCCAGGAATGTAGAATGTCTAAAGAAAGCCACAAAGAGTGAGCTAAGCCAGCACAAGGCAGAATCCATGAAGGTTACTGCCAGTAGCAATGCTTTAGAGGCAAGGTTGCCCAAGCCCTTTACTGTTCACAACTCCTCACCACAATTTGCCCCAGGTGCTGGACATGGAGCTTCAGGATTTAAAGTTCTCTTTGTTTTGATCCCATTCCTTTCTATACCCCTATTTTTCTCTGTTGGAATGAGAATGTTTATCCTGTGTCAGGATAGTTCGCTAGTGCTTAACATCTTCTTGATATTTATGGGGCTCACTGCTAAGAGTTTGACTGAAGTCTCAGAAGAGACTTTGGACTTAGGCTTTTCAGCAGTGCTAAAACTGTTAGGAATTTGGCAACTTTTAGAGATGAACTAAATGCAGTTTGCATAAAGAGATATGTATGAGTGTTTTTTTTTTTTTTTTTTTTTTTTTTTTTGGTACCTGGGATTGAACTCAGGTCCTTACGCTTGCAAGGCAGGCCACCGAACCGCTGAGCTAAATCCCCGGCCCTTGTATGAGTCTTTCGTGGGGGGCTGGGACAGAATGTTATTGTTTACATCTGGATGCCCTCCTAAAGCCTCATTTGATCATCCGCAGAACCTTTGGAAGGTGACTGGATTATAGGGGCATTATAGCTAACTTGCAGTTAGAAAGTGGGGCCTGGTCAGAAGAGGCAGGTCACTGTGGTTGTAACTCCTTTCCCAGCTCATCACTTACTTCCTGGTTTCCATGTGAGAAATTTTACTTCACCCAGTCCCACGTACCATGCCACTGACCGTTCACGGACTGAAAATTCTAAAATGTGGGCCAAAATAAATCTCTGTACCTTTAAATTACCGGTGTCTGGTATTTTATCCCAATGAGGAAAGTGACTAAGATAGGGGGTTAACATTACCTGTTACGTTAATTACTTTTCTCTTGTTGCTGAGACAAAAATACGTGATACCCAAAGTTAAAGGGGAGGAGGTTTATTTGACTTACAGTTTGTAGAGGTTTCAGTCCGTAACTGGTGGGCTCCAAGGCAGGGATATCAAACAGGCATCACTGAGGAGAAACACGGCATACACAACGTAGCAAAGGCAGCAAGAGACTAACAGTGTCTTCCTGCCCTTTTCATCTCATCCAGACTACCAAGAATAGGGTGGTGCTAAACCTCATGTGTCGTGGTTTAGTAATCACATGCCCTTTAATCACAGCATCACATTCCAGATTCAGCCACCTCTGATGGAATGAGGCTTTGCGGGGACATCTAGACCCAAACTTTCTTTACACGCTATTGAAAAAATTAAGAGA